GCTTCTTACCATGAGGAAGTGAGTTCTGTCTTGAGAGTCCTCTCAATGTGAGGTGTCGCGAGCGCTCAACCTTGAGAGTCGATCTCTCTGCGTAAACTTTTTCCTACCGCGGAGAAGAGAGGTGTCGTGAGCGCTCAACCTTGAGAGTCGATCTCTCCGCGTAAACTTTTGCCTACGCAGCGTTCACGTTCGGTGTGGCGAACTAGTCCCGTGTACGTTGCCGCTTCCTCATCCTTCGATTGGTTGTCACGTGGTGTCCGCGGCGAGCATTCACCAATCCATCAGCCGGCACGACACCGAGAAGATGGGCATCTATTCTCTTCACGCCCTCCCACCCGTTGATCAGCCCAAGACGGACACATCGGACCCACGCATCATTGAGCTTTTGGACAGCTATGAGGATGTCTTCCAAGCTCCCACCGGAGTAGTACCGGATCGTCCCATACACCACGGGATCACTCTCGAGGATGGCGCCGTACCTCCGCGCGGATGCATTTACCGAATGAGCGAAGAGGAGCTGCAAGTGCTTCACGCTCAACTAGACGATCTCTTGGCCAAGGGCTGGATTCGCCCCAGCTGTTCGCCATACGGTGCTCCTGTTCTCTTCGTCCAGAAGAAGAAAGGACCTTCGTTTGTGTATCGACTATCAGAAACTTAACACGCAAACGATCAAGAACGCCAGCCCTCTCCCGCGGATCAATGATCTCCTCGAGCGACTAGGCAGCGCCAAGTACTTCTCGAAGTTGGACCTCAAATCAGGCTATCACCAGATCGAGATCCAGCCAAGAGATCGCTACAAGACCTCGTTCAAGACGCGGTATGGGCACTTTGTGTGGATCGTCATGCCATTCGGTATCACCGATGCCCCGGCTACTTTCCAAGCGGCTATGACGATGAAATTTTGCTACCTGCTCGACCACACCAACTCATTAACCTTGATGATATCTTGGTTTATGGCCAGTCGCTGGACGAGCACCTCAAGCACCTTTGCGCCGTTTTGGAGAGGCTCCGTATCGCCAAGTACAAGGAAAACCACGACAAGGGCGAGTTTGCCCAAAAAGAGCTCGAGTACTTGGACCATTACATTACGACGCAAGGCATTCGTCCGGTCGCGGACAAAGTACAAGCCATTCAAGACTGGCCGGACCTTGCGTATACTACCCACGTCAGCTCCTTTCTTGGCTTAGCATCATACTACATGCGCTTCGTCAAGAGCTTCCAACAGATCGTTGCACCATTGACGCGACTTCAGTCCCCCTTGGTGCCCTTTGAGTTCGACCAACGAAGCCCGACACGCGTTCCATACTCTGAAGACGGCCTTGCTTCAAGCTCTCGTCTTAAGCATCTATGACCCGACCTTGCCAACCAAAGTGACTATGGACGCTTCCGGCTACAGAATTGGCAAAGTTTTGGTACAGTATGACGACACAGACTGGCATCCGGTTGGGTATTTCAGCCAAAAGGTGCCGCTCATCAATTCCCTTGATGATGCGAGGAAGAAGGAACTGCTAGCTTTTGTCACAATACTTAAGCGTTGGCGTCACTTTCTCCTCGGCCGTCGGCGATTCACGTGGGCAACGGACAACAATCTGTTGACTTATTACAAGACGCAAGACACGGTGAGCAGCACAAACAGTCGCTGGACGTATGTCATTGACCAGTTTGACTTCACCTCCAAGCATATTCCGGGCCCCTCAAACCGCAGCCGATGCTCTCTCGCGAAGACCCGATCTTTGCGCCTTGGTGCACTCCACATTCGGCCTCGACGAGGACCTGCAACAACATTTCGTAAACGGCTACAAAACGGATCCGGGATTCTCCACACTCTATGCGGACTTATCATCGGATCACCCGCCGACAAACAATTATCGCATTGTCGACGGCTACTTGCTTCTCCATACGCGGGGCAAGGATTTGTTGTGTGTTCCCCAATACCGCATCTTGCGCACTCACCTCCTTGGCAAATACCACGATCGTGGTTGACGGGACACCTTGGCGTCGCACGCACACTTGACACTTGCACGACTACGCCAGAGATTTCACTGGTCGGACATCATCAGCGACGTCAACCGGTACATTCAATCATGTGCAGTCTGCCATCGGAACAAAGGGTGCCATCAGCTCCCGTACGACGAACTGAAACCATTGCCGATTCCTCGGGAACCAGGTCTCTCCATTGCTATGGATGTGACCGGTCCTTTCCCTCGCGATCGCCTTGGCCATGATGGTATTCTCACGGCCGTCGACCTTTTGAGCAAGTACGCTCGATTTCTTCCATGCAAGTATCATGTGACGGCTCCCGAGCTCGCACGACTTTTGCATACCGGCTGGTTTGCAGCCATGGCGTTCCGAAAGACATCGTCAGTGACCACGACACTCGTTTCATGTCAGCCTTTTGGACGGCACTCGTGGTGGAATCCGGCACCAGCATGAAACCAAGTTCCGCACAGCATCCTCAAACGGGTGGGCAAACGAAACCTACGCACCAGACTGCACAAATGATGCTCCGCACACTCTACCCGAATTAAAAGGACTGGGTTGACCGTCTTCCCGACATCGAGGTCGCCTACCACACTTCGGTGCACCCAGCGATCGGCGTGACTCCACTCGAGTTCCATCACCGTGGACGGAAAGGCCATATCTTCGCAGACATTTTGCTTCCATGGGCTTCCGATATCAATGTCGCTTGCTCCCCCGCTTCTACACGGAAGTATAGGGATCTGCTGGCCAAAGCCCGCGCAAATATGCAAAAGGCCCAGGTCCGTATGCAGCAGCAAGCGAACCGGCGTCCCATCCCATGTCCAACCCGTGCTGGCGACCTTGCTTGGGTCACCTCCGAGGAATTCGCGCTCGAGCAGCACATCTCGCGCAAGCTCCTCCCTAAGTGGTTTGGACCATTGAAGGTCACTTCAGCAGCTGGCAACGACCCCGCGGGTCCCTCTTTCATAATCGAGATTTCCCCGCATCTAACGGTCCACCCTGTATTTCACGCTTCGAAAATGGCGGTCTACACTCCAGCCTCACGAACAAAATTCCTACGCAGACGGTCCCACGACCCTCCTTCGATGGACGGTCACCAGGAGGTCGACCGTGTGCTCGCTCACCGCAAGCATGGCAACAATCCGATGCAGTACAAAGTTACATTCAAGCAATGCGATCCCGATGACACACACTGGATTTCATGAGCTGACCTGAAGGCGACAGCACCCCTCATCTTCGCGCATTACGAAAAACAGCGACTTGCTAAGGAAGCTGCCCAACCCGCCCGCCCCGTACGGACATCGCACAAATAGCTTCCCCCTTGCAGCCTGCCCCGTACGGACATCGCAAAGATAGCTTCGCCCTCGCAGTTAGCTTGGTCTTCAAGCTCCAATATATTCGTGGGGAGCAGCACATGCTGGGAATCGGGCCCAGCATCCCATATGAAGACATGTAGAAAAGATTTATGAACAAATTGAAGTACCGGGGCCACTGATACCACACGGGCCCCAATTAGGGCCCAGTTCTGTAGTAGGCACGGGTTAGGCCTAGGTACCGGGTCACAACGGTCCCAGCCAGGTCCAAGTAGGCCTAGGAACAGTCGGTTCAGATTAGAGTCCAGTAGGCCCAATTTAGACCCTACCAGACCCAACGGCTAGTTGGGTTAGACCAGGATCCGGTCCGTCGGTAGGACCAGCCGGCGGTGCAGTTTAGGCGCCACTTCTCTTTCAGATTCTGGAATCGGATCTGAACCGTTGGGGTTGATCAACGGTCCAGACCCAAAGGCGCCAGTAGTACTGAGGCTGGCCCAGCACTATATCAGTTGGGTACCAGCCCCAGTGGTTAGATTAGTTTACAGGTTAGCGCAGTGTTTCGGCATTAGGATGAGCAGAGCAGCGGAGAGAATTAGCGCAGCAGCGAAGAGGAATAGCACAGCAGCGATTTAGCCCGGCAGCGAAGTAGCGCCAGCCCTCTGGCCCAGCCCGTGGCCCAGCCCACGGCCCAGCGCCCAGCCCTGCAGCACCATAGCTGCATCGCCAGGTACCAGGGAGAAAAATTCGCCTTTCCTCCCTCTTCTTCCTCCTCCGCTCTCTCTCTCTCTTTCCTCCTACCCTCTTAAGTCTAAGTCGACTCTTGGGTTACTCCTACTGGACTACTACGAGTATGAAGGATGGTTATGAGTTCTGATGATATTGGAGATAGCAACATTGAGACTGCAGGTTGAGGACTACTTTTGGGATCTGATTTCATCTACCCCTGGAGATGTATCTTGACATTGTGAGATCGATATCTGAGACACTGTGAGACTCTCTATTCGCAACATTTCAGATTTTGGCTACTTCTGACATTTCGAGATACTATTTTTGGAAACATCATCTTCCCTCTCCTCCTCCCTTCGTCTCGCCTCCCCTCCATTCATCTGTGTATGAGAGTAGGCCCTGGCCTTTTCTTCCATGTCCAAGGCCTGGGCTTTCACACCACCGATGCATGTTCGTGAGAGATTGATTGTGTATCAAGTCTTCCATTGTAATTGTACTTACTCTGTACTTACTCTGTATTATCTGGTCGGTTCTGGGAATCTGCGCCATACTTATGACTGTGTTTCACGAGTATGCAACAGTAAGGCTCTCAGGATAACCCCGGGTTGAATTGTGAGGTCCCCGGCCTCGGTCTATCTTTGGAACGAGTTTCCTTTTAAACCAGTAGTACCTTTGCCGCTTGAGAAATAAGGGAAAATGCCAGCTCCCGAAGAATTCGGAGGCCGGGGCCAACGGCGGCTGCCATTGATAAATCTAATCGGTGGCAGTCGTTTCGTTTCGGCCTCCTAAAGGTCCGAGGCCTTCTATTTTCCGAAATGACAAAGGTACAAGTGCTTTAAAGTTCACACAAAAAGAAAAAGAAAAGAAAAAAAAAAGAGATTCAGATGTAACTGAAAAGTTCAAAATTTGGACAATTACTTTCATGAAAGAATTTTCATTTTTTATCCCTTTGTTTTTTTTGCAGCCGACAAATGCACCCACCAGGGGAAGCAGAAGCTTCAATATGCTGTCAGAGACTGCATAGTCCAGAGCAGACGCTAAAGTCACCACTGCTGCAAGTTTAGATTGCAAGCCTGGGCATCACACACACACACACACATACGTCAGGAGAACAGCACAAAGCACACACATACGTCAGGAGAACAGCACAAAGCACACACAAAAAGAGGTCAGTAGAACAACACAAAGTTTTCGTTTTTCTACTTTCTTATTTGAAGTTTGTTCTTTTTTTTTTTTATCTGTGTCATCATTTGTGCAGAGGCCATGCTAACCAAAATAACGGATATCAACAGAGCATACAGTGTGAGTTGAGTAACTGCAGGTGTCTAATTTGTAAAATAGTAAGTAGTACACAGGTTTCTTTTTCAGTTTTTCTGAAAACATCAGAATTCCAACTGGAAAACATCAGTACTCTCACAATGCTTCCTTCCATTCTGCCGAAGGACCCTGAGACTGTGGCATTGATTACTTCCTTTGACGGAAGCATTCAACCCCGGTACGCTCCTGTTGTACTCCACTCAAATGGCTGCTTTGTCCTGTGTTCTCTCTCCAACACAACGCCCGTTGCGTATTCAGCACCAAAAACCTCGTTTTCCTTTGAAGGGAGAGCCCAGTCCCCCCCCGGGTCGGGCGCACCAAAAACCTCGTTTTCCTTTGAAGGGAGAGCCCAGTCCCCCCCCGGGTCGGGATGTTCTCGACTTCTGCTCAATCTACGCCCATGTAGGGTTTTCCTTTGATCAGAGACCCTGGTCCCCTGGCGACAGATGTTCTCAAAATCATCTCAGTCTACAGACTCTACACCCATGTAGAGCATTGGAAGAAAGAAAAGGAACTTCCTAAGAAACAAAAAGGTGATGAGATGAACGCAGACATTGCAGAGTATTTTTTGAACTTCCAGATTCGAGAGAGAAATATTGCCCTCACCTCAGGAGCACAAACTGCAGAAATTGAGTCAATTGCAAACAACCCTGCGACGGATAACAATGACATTTCACTCGGTTTAAACCACTAGTACCTTTGCCATCAAGTTTCGACAAGTTTTAGCCTAGTCCCGAACTCTTAGGAGGCCGGGCCCGACAACAGCTGCCGTTGATAAATCTGATCGGCGGCTGTTGTTTCGTTTCGGCCTCCTGATAGTTCGGAGGCCCACTATTTTCCGAACCAGCAAAGGTACTAATGGCTTAAGCAATGCAAATAATAATACTGCAGAAGCGCATCTGAGGCGTACAACAGAACAAGTTATACCATAGTTGCGGCGCACGTCGGTGCGCCAGTCTGCACACGTTTTGCGCACGTAGCGCCGCGCACGGCACAGCGCACAGCATTAAATACGGGTGGCGGAAAAATTAAAAAAAAATCGGGTTTTCATTCGGACGGCGGGCCCCCACCCCGGCAAAATTGACGCCTGGGTCGCGCCACTCGGGAAACCGGCCGCGCCCCGCGGAGACGGGGACGGCTGTTTCCGAAGTTGGGCACCATCGGCGGACAGCAGCGGCGGGAAGGTGCTTGAGCAGCGGCAGGAAGGTGCTTGAGCCGCGGGGGGAAGGTGGGAGGGAGGGACACGGTGGGGCACGATCTGCGGACGAAGGAGGGAGGGAGGGAGGGGCACGGCGAGGGCGACGGAGGAGGGAGGGAGGGAGGGACACGGCGAGGGCGATGAAGGAGGGAGGGAGGGAGGGACACGGCGAGGGCGACGAAGGAGGGAGGGAGGGAGGGACACGGCGAGGGCGACGAAGGAGGGAGGGAGCGACACGGCGAGGGCGACGAAGGAGGGAGGGAGCGACACGATGGGGCACCATCGGCTCGAAGCAGTGGCGGGAAGCGGCAGCTGGCAGCGGGCAGCCATGAAGGTGGGCGCCCACCTCTTCTCTCTCTCTCTCTCTCTCTCTCTCTCTCTCTCTCTCTCTCTCTCTCTCACACACACACACACAC